TAAGTGTTGAAGTTCATCATCTTGTAAAAAAAAAGGCTTGTAGCGGACTTCTGAGTAAGAATTAGAAGAACCTGCAAAATGATAAATGATAAATTAATTTCTAAAAGGAGACCAAAGGCAGATAAAGAGATTTCACACCAAGTCATTGATTTACTAGCGGGAAAATGCCCCACAAGTATGCTCACACGACAAGACTTGTTTGGCATTTTCACTTTTAAAAATGCAAACTGGTCATAAAGGTTTGCAAGTGAAAGCTGAGACAAAAGAGTATGAAAAACTCTTTTTTCCATACTCTTCCACAGCAGGGGTCAGCAAACTTTTTCAGTAGGGGGCCAGTCCACTGTCCCTCAGACCTTGTGGGGGGCTGGACTATATTATGAAAGGGAAAAAAAGAATGAATTCCTATGCCCCACAAGTAACGCAGAGATGCATTTTAAATAAAAGCACACATTCTACTCATGTAAAAACATCAGGCAGGCCCCACAAATAACCCAGAGATGCATTTTAAATAAAGGGACACATTCTACTCATGTAAAAACACACTGATTCCTGGACCGTCCGCAGGCCAGATTTAGAAGGCGATTGGGCCGGATCCAGCCCCCGGGCCTTTACCTACCCATGACCCACAGACAGCAAATTTTAAGTCTTAAACAGATATAAACATAGAGAAGAAAATGGTAGAATGCCTTCACAGTAGTAGCACCCTCCCTGTGGAACACCCTCCCTTTAGATGTCAAGGAATTAAACAATTATCTGACTTTCAGAAGACACCTGAAGGCAGCCCTGTATAGGAAAGTTTTTAATGTGTGATGTTTTTGTATGTTTCGATACATGCTGTGAGCCGCCCAGAGTGGCTAGGGAAACCCAGTCAGATGGGTCGGGTTTAAATAATAAAATAATAAAAATAATAATTACAGTACTAACATCTTTCAGGTTCCGTTTTCATAAATACTTAAAGCAGTGGAAAACTGTTCTAAATTTAACATCAAATCCAATGGTCTGTTTCAACAGCAATAAAAGCAAGGATTGCTGTGTTGGTGCGACATTATAACTTGCCAGGACACTTTTCATGCCTTACAGAGAGGCAGCTTGTTCAAAAGATATTGCAATCAAAGAAAGCATTAGCTGGGCACTCAATCTGTCCTATATAGGACACTGTAATATTTCTATTTGTGGAAGTCACTCTGCCCTGGTGTACACCGTTTTTACACTTAAAACAGGATATTTTATATCATTCTGAACTCACTTTTCAATGACTTTAAGTGCTGCACAGCCATTCTTAATACTGTGAGTTTATCCACTTTACGGGCCACTGGGTTGCACTGAGGTATCATAGCAGAGAGTTCTTCTATGAGGTTATTCATTTTGTCTCTTCTTCGTTTCTCTGTTTGGCTATGAGCCTCCCTAAAAAGAGTGCAGAAGACATATCTTGTGCAGTGGCACTTAATAAAAACAAGCTGAACTCCATATAACATGTTGCAAAGTTATTATATGAACAGCAAGAGAACGCAGAAAGAACCATACTGATTTCTGCAATTAATAACTAGAGATGGGAGAAAATATTGATATACAAATATAAGTAGGGGCTGAGTATTCATGAGGGATAAATAAATGACTGTCAAAACCTCTTATTTATAGTTTTTGACATCTTTTCAAGTTTTAATTACGGAATATACATGTATGTATACACACACCTGAACATGATCTAGGATTAAATCTAAACTTAACACTAACAAATGAAAGTTAAGACTTTATCCTCTTAAAACCACCATGACCCCTCAAGCAAACAAATTAAAGCCTGCACCAACCAGTACACATGCACGAGAACTAGGGATATGCCAGTCTCTGTGGGATCTTCCACTCAGGTGGATCTTCTTGTATTATTTTATACCCTGTAAATAGTGGAGTTCAGCAGTCTACTCAGTTCTCAAATTCAGTGTTAACTCTACTAGCCAAACAAGGAATACTAGCCATTTTATCTGAAGCAGAAACACTGTTTTACGTAACTACACTATATTTCTGGAAAGTTCTTTACATTTAGTCTTTAAGTGATCTTGATGAGCATTTTGAATTTGTAGAAACACAAATATACATTTAACCACCACTTTAACTCTTCTGAGCATGGTATTCAAAAATACAGTACTGTATTTATCTATTTGCTTGTTAGTTCGTTAAGGCATTATACCTGCTCTGGAGATCATCAACATCACATGCATACCTAGAGAAAAGAGAATTTAAACTATTTAGAAGACATCAAAATCAAGAATGAAAAACAATTACAATAGAAAATCATGCTGAGTTTTCCTTACTCTTCTTACAGCAGAGACCTGGGACACATAAGAACACCAAAAAAGAAAAGAAAAATGCCTTTCTTCTTTACCCCTGAACACCAGTCACAGAAGACTGCATTCCAGTGCAGTGGTACCTTGGGTTACAGACACTTCAGGTTACAGACTCCGCTAACCCAGAAATAGTACCTCGGGTTAAGAACTTTGCTTCAGGATGAGAACAGAAATTGTGCTCCAGCGGCACGGCGGCAGTGGGAGGCCCCATTAGCTAAAGTGGTGCTTCAGGTTAAGAACAGTTTCAGGTTAAGAATGGGCCTCCAGAACGAATTAAGTTCTTAACCTGAAGTACCACTTTAATGTGATTCCAAGAGCTTTCCTTGGTTTTTGTGGCTATGGGGTGAAGAGGTACTAAAGATTGTGCTGCAGCCTGAAAAAGCCCAGGGCAACTGTAGTCAAAGTTATTTCACGTACTGCAGGAGGGAACCCATTTCAGTCTAAGGGCTGTGTTCCCCACATGTGTAAACTTGGGTGGGGGGACATATGCAGGACGAAACCCAAAAAAGTATACAGTGCAAAACAAATCCAGTTACAGAAATACTGTACATTTTCAGGCACATACACATGCCACTTACTTCTTCATAAAATTCAGCTTTCTTCCACCCAGCTCCATCTCTCCAAACTTCCCAAATCCACAGCTCCACAGAAGAGACACCTCACTTCTCCTTTCACTTCCTGCATCTCAATTTCTGTTTTCCCTCCCAACTTTATGCCTTTTCTCTCTCTCTCTCTCTCTCCTTTTCCTCTCCTCCCGCACTGGAATTATGGAGAATCTCTTTTCCTGCAATTACTCTTTGGCCTGACTTTTCCTGCAAGAATCCCACCCTGTAACTAGAGTCCCCACTATTTCTTGTTGAAGATGCCTCCAAAGAGGGGATTGTCACTTTGGGAGAAGCAAGAGGAGCTGACTGGTTCTTGAAATACTTGGGCACTTTTGGGAAAGGCTGCATGCTGCTGAATACTCCCCAGGGCACCTGGACATGTATGAGTGCTTCCTAGCACAGAAAGGAATGCCCGGATATGGCTACTTCCCTGAGTAAGGGAACATGCTGACAGCTGGTGAACTAACTGCAGCAGGCATCAGAAGCATGAGACAATGAGGGGGTGGAGCCTTGGAAAGTGAGTAGGCTGAACAGAAAGGCTGTGTTGACCAGATGCAGCCCACATCCCCACGCATGTAGCCACAATTTTTGTTAGGGGGGCAGAACCAACATGATTAGAAATACTTAACTAACTGACCATTGTTTTATTTGATCTAGGGGAGGCAGCTGCCCCCCTGGGCTATACCCATGCCCATGGTTCCCCACCCAGTACAATCAATTTGGGCCTTGCTATAGCCATAGCAGAATACCCTGACAATTAATAGACATTTTCCCTTATCACATCTGTCACAACATAACTTTTTGTTAATTACTTTTAATCATCTGGCAATTTAAAATGATGTGCAACTTCCCAGCAATTCTTATAATATAGTACACTAAAGATTGCGGTAAATATCCCTGATGCCATAACCAACTTGAACAAGAAAGTATTTGAAAGATGCTCACATTCAGAAAGTGGGTACTGTCATAGAATCTTAAGAGTTGGAAGGGAGCCAAGGGTCATCTAGTCCAACCCCCTGCAATGCAGGAATCTCGGATGAAGAATGCATTACAGATGGCCATCCAACCTCTGCTTAAAAACTTTTGGTATGTCAACTTTTAGTATTATGAAGAGATATTGTGAAAAGCACTTTGGAGAGCTCAGATAGGAGTTAGTAGTTCAGAAACAGATTTTCAACAACTCTATGGAAAATCTAAATAGAAGCAGCATGGTGTATCTGATGAGGTAAGATGCCATTGTTGGAAAAGATAAAGATGTACATAAAAACTTTCATAGTGTTAACTCACTGAGACCATCTGTGGCAAGAAGAATCTACACTAGACAAATGGAAAGTAGGAATAAATTTCATTACATCATGGAGGCCACCTGAAACAGCTGAGCTTTCCGATACCCTCCTTCGGATAGGCTTCATTCAGTAGGATAATCTTGGTACCAAATCTAATGGTTTTTAGGTTAAATATTTGTTGCTGTTGTTTTAAAATATGTAATCCCCTCCAATTAAATCCTATAATGTTTTCAGTTGTTGATTTCCAGCCCTGCTGTTTTATTATTTCAAAATATCAGGAAAGTATCAAATTATATTCTTGGAAAGAACAGATAAGAGGTAAAAACATTAAAAAGGAATGAGAACAGACAGTGTGAGTAAAATATGGAAATGTATGTTGGTTTAGGAAAATTATTGAGAACTGTGGGATTTGAAGAAGTTTACAAGGAGCAGCTAGTTGGAAATGGCATGAAGCACAGAAAAGAAAAAGACTTTTCCAGGCACAGAATATGTCATGGTAGATTAATAAAGGTGTGAATAGGAACTGGAAGCACAAGAAGCTGAAAATGCATTATCACCGTTCTGCCATGTGTTTAGTATGTAGCTCCTGAATATACACAAAAATATCTCCCAAAATAGATGTGTTAGATGCATAACATGTACACACACACTAGCAACTATAGGTCTAACACAAATCCAGTATTATTATACTACAGTGAGGCAGAAATTAACCCCCCCCCCAACTTACTGGTTATCAGAATCACTTCCTTTGCGTTTTCTTGGAAAGTCCACTCCAGATGTATTACTTGAGTTGGCAGTGACGGGCTGGGATATAGAAGTCATAAGGCTTGAGAACGCAGAGGCAACACACTGGTTTCCTTCCATCTGAAAATTATCTGCAAATAGTAAAATAGTGCCAAAGTTGAGACAGAGTGATTTTGTATGTACTGTATTCCGACCAATCTAGACAGAAATGAAAAAAATTGCTGACCTAAATACGTAAATAACCTTACAAAAGAGCTCCACCATCACAAACATGCTTCTTTATTCTGTGTCAATCAATCTGTCTATTTACATAATTTATGTCCCACACCGTCAACAAAGAGTTATGCTCTTAGGGTAGCTGCTAACCATAGTGTAAGAAGCAAGAAGTAAAACTTAAAATAATAACAACAATAACAAATACAAGCTAATACGGGAAATTAAAAGAAACTAAAACATCGCCAGACAATTTAACTATATGGTAAAACGAATTTCACTAAGTTAAAGAATGTTTACAGTCCTTTAAGCCTAGGAAAACAGATTGCCTGGTGACTAAGGATTCATCCACACACTTCTGCTTCCCCTGGGGAAAACCCACTGATGAATAAATGTCAATTGGGTTTTCTCTGGATTGACATTTGCTCCAATTTAGCACTGAAGAGCAGTTTTCCAGGGGGAAGTGGCGAGGTAAAGGCAAAAGTGCTTGGACCTGTGCCTAGAAAACACAGAAAGTCATTTGGACCCATTCTTTCTAGGCACTGGACAAGCGAAAGTGTGGACAAGCCCTTAATGATAGTAATGCAGTCTCTAGCAGGACCTCCTTTAGGAGAGTATTTTAAAGGTGTGGCACTACCAAAAAAAGGCTTGCTCTGTGCCACACATCAGGCTGCAGAGGCACAAGGAGAAAGGCCTTAAATAATTATCTTAAGGAATCGGTAGACTGATGCAGATAAAGGCAGTCCAACAAATATTTGGATCCAAAGCTGTGTAGGGCTTTAAAGGTTATGACAAGCACTTTGGACCTGAGCTCAGAAAGTCCCTGGAAGCCGGTTGTTGCAATAAACACAAATTATTTTCTCTTCACCTAATTCCCATTATCAGCCTAGGAACAGTGTTCTGGGCTATCTACAGTTTCTGAACTGTCTTCAAAAGCAGCCTCATATCAGTTACCAAGGCAAATATAACTGTGGCTAGGCTAGCTCAGTCTAGGAGAGGTTGCCATTAGCATATGAACCTGTCAAATGACAGAGGTTTCTTTGTGCCACCAAAATTACTTGACCCTTAAGAGAATGACAAACCTAATATCACTCCCAGGCCGTTAGATAAAATACAATCCCTTCCAGAGCTGGTTGAAAACCATCTGAAAGAGGATTAGCTTTTAGTATAACTTTCCATATAACTCCTGCTGCTGCAAACCCAACCTACAATGGCTACGGAAAAGTGACTGCCTGAAGCATTCACATCATTTTAAACACCTGCCCTTTTCTTCTCCACACTATGCTGTGCATACCACAACTCAATAAGAATTAAAATGTCTGCCTGCCTGTCTGTCTGTCATGCAACCCCTCACTGAATGCCTAAGTTTACTTACCTAATTAACAAAATGTATATACTGTTTCATTGTAATAAAATCTCTAAGCACTTTACAGGAAATATTGAAACAAGTAATCAAAAACATTTAAAAATAATTAACAAAATACACTGCAACTACAGATAAAAAGTTTTCCAACCCAGAATGAATACCTAAACTCTCTGCATATAAGGCCACATAAGAGTCTTCATGCTTTCTTCATGTTCACAACGACTTTATTACAACAGCAGAACACATCTAGGGGAAGCAGTGATTTTGCTGCAAAAGACAGCAATGAAGAGTCCTGGGCAAACTTAAAAACTAACATTTATTTTCCAGTACACATATCAATGCTAATGATAGACCTGCTTACACACAGTTTCCCAAATTAACTGCCCTTTCCTTATCTTGCTTCAACATTTACCTATTTCATTTGCATGATCAAGTAGTTAATCAGAGGATGGAGTCAAATAAACATGAGGGAAAGAAACTTGACTAAATAATCAGATACTTCTTAATTTGCACCTGTTCTTTCACAGTACAAGCAACTATATTTGCATGTAAAGAGAAGATTGAGAATTATAATTCATTAGAAATATGCAGCAACTTGAATGATGTGCTAAAATGGACTGAGCATGCCTTGCTTGCGTGAATGAAGCTCTTACTCTCAGCACTTCAATATAATGAACACATAAGAAAGTACTTAAGACCATTACAGCATTTGCCTTATTAACATACCTTCTAGCACCCTTGTGATAGCTGGTAAGCAACAAAGAGGTTCACCACCCACTGCTGTAGGTGTTTAATCTTGGAATATTGCAGTAAATATAACAGCCAATTGTGCTTCCGTTTTAGGGAAAGTAAACAGATTACTGTGACTCAAATCCAGGCATCCCTGAATGACCCATTTTTTTTTTACACCCTGTATCTACAACAGATCACAACATTCTGCAGAATTGTTAATAGGAATTTTTTTTTACCCATACATTCTTATCCACACCTTGCAGGTGCCACCTTGCAGAATATTAATCTGCCAAGAAGGCAGGGGTGCCAAGAAGGAGGTACAAAGAATACACATGTATTGAATAAAACTTGAATAAAATAGGGGGGGCAGGTAAGCCCCATCCCTCATAATCAATCACGTGATGTGGCGCGCACACACTATTTGAATGGCAATGTCCCTAAACTTTGGCGTTAACTGCTATGTAGACAAGTCTTAACCTTCTAAATGATTATTGTGAGATAAACCAGACTGGCTGCTTTCAGTGTTTTTAGCCAATCTTGTAATCTCCATTTGAGATCAGGTACTCCCTTTAAAGTATTACCTGCTGATTCTACTACAGAGTAAATGTGGGTGAGTGCTAAAGAATCTTCCACCCTTGCAAAGAAACAGAAAACGCACACGCAAACTGAAAACTCTGCAAAGGGGATAAGGCATGTCTTCTAAACTCCAGGCAATTAAAAAAAATATGTTTTGTTAACTCTCAGTACAAGAGTACATGTCTATTCAGAAAAAGTATATGTGTTTAATGAGTCTTACTCCCAGGTAAGTGGGTAGAAGATTGCAGCCTAGGTTTTCTTGTGAGGAGGGGCCAGATAAGGGTTTATGGTGATGCTTTACCCTTGGGCATGCTATACCAACCTGGGAGTGAACTCATTTGCATACAATTGGGTTTTTGCATCTAAGCACACAAAAAATAGGCCAGATTAAGACTGGTGGAAGCCTTGGAGGTGTACTCATCTGGGGACGGGGGGGGGGGAATGCCCCTTTAGAGTACAATCAGCTTGACTAAAGGAAGCAAAAACTGGTGTCTATAATGCAAGAAAGAAGTTCCCCTTTTGCAGCCACCTTCTATATCTTCACAACAGCCATAAGAGATAGGTTCAGCTGATAGTTAGTAACTGGCCCAAGGCAGGCAGCTGCACCAGATTTAGGGCAATGCAGGTAGTTCCCCCACACATGGCGCTGAACAAGGGGACACAAAATAGTAGTAACAACAACAACAATTTATATGGGTACCTACTGAGAAGATCCATACAAAACTAACTGTACCATTAGGAATTATTCTGAAAATAAGAATGTTTGGATGGCGGGGTGGGGGCAAATTATGTCTTCACCCTGGGTACCATATTACCAAAGTCTGCCCCTGCAGGCAGTGAGCAAAAACAACGACAAGCTGAACAGCATGTGCACACACACAAATGCATGTCTGTGTGTGAAGCTTGTTTGTGTTTGCTACATTCCACTCCTGAATTTTCATAGCAATCAAAGAACAGTGTTTGTGTGTTTTTATTTCTAGTGTTTCATCACTTCTTTTTTGCCTGTGTAAATGCAGCATTACAAATTATGCAATTACTGGTGTAAATTTTTAATATATATCAAGTTGCCCAAATGTTTTGCGGCTGTTTTTGTAACATGTCACAGGGGAATGGTGGAGAGAAATAGTCACTGTATGCTTCACAAGTGGAGTGTTGTTCTCCAATTTCTGGGTATGTCCCCCCCCCCCCCCGGGAAATGCCGCAGTGGGACAAAGAGGTGGGGAGCATTATGTTCGTTGTGGAAGCAATATGCAGGGAGAAGTGATTACTGTAGTTGGGGGGATATGGGGGTAAGGTTGGTGCCGCTGGTATTAAATGCTTAAATGGATTGTTGTTGAAAAAGATCAAGGCGCTTTTTATGGTTCTCATTCCCTTTTTATCCTCCCAACAACTCTGTGAGGTAGGTTAAGGTAAGTGGCTGTTTCAAGGGCGCAAAGCGAGCTTCATGGCTGAGTGGGAGTTTCAAATTCTTTTTTCTAAAAAATGAAAAAGAAAAAAAATCCTGTAATTATTATGTGGTTTTAATAAATAACCATCTCAATTGAATACACTGCTTGCTTTTAACTATTTATAACTTGATTTTTTCCAAGCATGAGCATCTGAACAGATCTGCTGTAAAACTCCCATCTGAAATACATTACTAATGATTATGTGCATAAGGTTTTAGTGATGAGTTGTAAACAAATAGTTCTTTATTGTTCAAATCTATTCCACCTAGAAGCCATTATATAGTATTTCACCTAAATTAAAATTAAGAAGGACATTTACCTATTTGTATAAATACATTCATATACAAGGGCACTGCTATTTGGCATTTAATACAGCAGGAGAGCGGGGGGGGAGGTAGAGATTGTGAAAGGGCAATAATGGAGTTTAGAAAGTACTCATAAGAGACATTTCACAATATTTAAGTTTTCAGAAGAGTAACAATTTCTTCACTTATCACCCTTGTTCCTCTAAGTTCCATGGACCAGGAGGAGCAAATAACAGCAGTAACTAAGTCAATGAGCGAATGAGATGTGATAACAGAATAGGAAATACATAGAATCATAGAGTTGGAAGAGACCACAAGGGCCATCGAGTCCAACCCCCTGCCAAGCAGGAAACACCATCAGAGCACTCCTGACATATGGTTGTCAAGCCTCTGCTTAAAGACCTCCAAAGTAGGAGACTCCACCACACTCCTTGGCAGCAAATTCCACTGTCAAACAGCTCTTACTGTCAGGAAGTTCTTCCTAATGTTTAGGTGGAATCTTCTTTCTTGTAGTTTGGATCCATTGCTCCGTGTCCGCTTCTCTGGAGCAGCAGAAAACAACCTTTCTCCCTCCTCTATGTGACATCCTTTTATATATTTGAACATGGCTATCATATCACCCCTTAACCTCCTCTTCTCCAGGCTAAACATGCCCAGCTCCCTTAGCCGTTCCTCATAAGGCATCGTTTCCAGGCCTTTGACCATTTTGGTTGCCCTCCTCTGGACACGTTCCAGTTTGTCAGTGTCCTTCTTGAACTGTGGTGCCCAGAACTGGACACAGTACTCCAGGTGAGGTCTGACCAGAGCAGAATACAGTGGCACTATTACTTCCCTTGATCTAGATGCTATACTCCTATTGATGCAGCCCAGAATTGCACTGGCTTTTTTAGCTGCCGCGTCACACTGTTGGCTCATGTCAAGTTTGTGGTCAACCAAGACTCCTAGATCCTTTTCACATGTACTGCTCTCAAGCCAGGTGTCACCCATTTTGTATTTGTGCCTCTCATTTTTTTTTGCCCAAGTGCAATACTTTACATTTCTCCCTGTTAAAATTCATCTTGTTTGTTTTTGCCCAGTTCTCTAATCTGTCAAGGTCGTTTTGAAGTGTGATCCTGTCCTCTGGGGTGTTAGCCAAATACAAAGCTTATGCCGAAAATACTCCAGCTATACACCTCTCCAAGTGTGTTGCTCTATGCAAACATGTTTGTGACAACCACTCTGTATATTCCCTGTATCTTTATGGTTTAAATTTAAAAGAAAACTATTTATGGGATTTGCGGGAGGGCCAATGGCAGGCTAAAGCATCATCTCACTGCACAGACCGCTGGCCTTCTCTGTTGCTACAGACACCACTCCTCTACACAGGGTTTTATCGCCCCAACCCTATTTATTATTTTCATTGCCATGATGCTACACATTGTCGAAGGGAAACTCTCCACTGGGGTAAAAATCATATATAAACCAGGTGGAAAGCTCTTTACCTTGAGCAGGCTGAAAGCAAAGAGTAAGGTTACCATAACTTCCATCATAGAGCTTCAATATGCTGATGACAGCGTAGTGTGCGCACACTCAGAGGATGACCTCCAAACCACCCTAAATATCTTTGCAGAAGCCTACGGAAAGCTTGGCCTATGCTCAACATCCAAAAAACCAAAGTGCTGCACCAACAAGCACAAAAAACCCATCTGCAGCACGACAAATCCAACTCAGTGGTGTAATGTTGGAAAATGTTGATGACTTTAAGTTACCTTTCCACAAGAGCCGACATTGATGCCAAAATCCAGCATTGGGAAACATTGGCCTGCTAGCATTCCAATTGGAGAACAGCCTTTACCAAAGGTGTCATGGACTTTGAAGACGCTAGAACTCAGGACGAAAGGGAGAAACATGCTGAGAGGAAGGCACATGTGGCAAACCTTCACCACGATCAGCTCCCACCTAGAAACCTATGTCCCCACTGTGGAATAACGTGTGGAACCAGAATTGGCCTCCACAGTCACTTACGGACTCGTTGTTAAAACATGTTCATGGAAGACGATCTTTAAAATATAAAGGTAAAGGTACCCCTGGCCGTTAGGTCCAGTCGCGGACGACTCTGAGGTTGCGAAACTTATCTCACTCTATAGGCCAAGGAGCCGACGTTTGTCCGCAGACAGCTTCCGGGTCATGTGGCCAGCATAACTAAGCCACTTCTGGTGCAACGGAACACCGACACCAGAGCAGCGCACGGAAATGCCATTTATCTTCCCGCCTCAGCGGTACCTATTTATCTACTTGCACTTTGACGTACTTTCGAACTGCTAGGTTGGCAGGAGCTGGGACCGAACAACGGGAGCTCACCCTGTCGCGGGGATTCGAACTGACCTTCTGATTGGTAAGCCCAAGGCTCAGTGGTTTAGACCACAGCGCCACCCGCGTCCCACAGCCACAGAGCCCAAAATAATTCCCCATCCTTGCTCTAGCTTATCCACCTTGTTCAGCATCAGAAAAGGAGGGTGTAGAAAGATCCAGTACGTTTTAGGACCTGGATTTTTTCCTGGAGATCAGTAACATGGCCTATACTGTTTTTTTTTATAACTATTTCTTAATAGGTGAAAACTGGAAAATTAAACAATCCAGTCATAAACCTTGCAAGGAAAACACCAGCCTCGAAACAAGATAGGACTTGACCTACTTTTTGAAGACAGAACTTACGGTAGATATGCTACTTCTCTAGTGTGAAGTAAAATAGAAATGACAACAACAGAAAACCGTCTCAAATTGGAACACAATTAGCATATACCTTTCTAGATTTAAATTTTGGCAACAGACAACTTTGAAGTGTTAAGAAGGAAGCTATACACTTTATCGTTCTATATATATCACATGAGCCTCAGATTTAAAGAACAAGGGATATTAATATACACAAAAATAATCCATAACCTAAAGTACAGCAGCATGGCAAAAAATTATCTTGACACATACAAAATTGTTAAAAAGCTAAGGAGTAAAAACATATTTTAAAATTAACTGTAGATAAAATTGCAGCATATTGTAAACCAAGAATCAGGACCTCCAAGGATATGCGACTCCCGATTACAGAACAGCTCCAGCCAAATGATAAAACGATTTATCCATCTGCATATATCTATAATTCTATAGACTATTCACAGAAAAGTGCATTTGGACTGCATTTAGCAGCATTTAATACATCCCAATATTTCAGTTGAACAATGTAGAAATCACACCCAAATTGGGACTGATTTTAACCTCCTCTGTCAAACATAAAATACACAACAAGTATTAGTTTATGTATCCAACCAATGTCACGGCTAGTCACTTATTTCAGAAAACTGGAGTTCCACCAGGACACATTTTAAAAGCTCCAGAGGGGATTCCTGAAGCATCGCTGCAGGTTCCTCTTCCTATTCCCCCGCTTTTTCCGAGAGGGAAAAAAGTCATTTGGAGAAAATTGAAGTAGAAAGGGAGGCGGGCAGCAAGTTTGTTCTCTGCGCGACGAAGACCAGCCGGACAGATTTAAAATGTACGTGTCCGACAGCCAGGTCAGGCACATGCTGCGAAAGTAGGGCAGGCGAAATAAAGGTCGTGGCAGCGAAGCGCAGAGGCGGCGGAGGAAGTTTCGCATCCCGCTCACCCGCCCATCAGCCCCACTTATTCTTCCATCCCTCGGGCGCGTCTCCGTTTGTTTGGGGGGTGAAGGGGGGAGAGGGAAATTCGGCCCAGCTGCTCCGAGTCTGGCCATTGCCTGGCGGCGCCTTCTTTCCCCGCAAACCCCCTTTGCGCCGCGGGGGCTGCCCTGGCTGGGATATTTTAAAGCCAAGCACCCCATCAATTAAATGCCTGGGGAAGAGAGGGAACCGCGCCTCCCGGTGGCCTCGCGGCTGGGGAGTTTGCCACCCAATCTGCAGTCACAGACCTACAGGCTCGGGAAGGACCCCCAGGGGTCATCTAGTCCTACCCGGCGAAAGGCGCGAAACCCGCCGCCCTTCTCTCACCTGCGCCGGCCGCTGCCCTCAGCCCTTGGCTGCCGCTGCCGCCGCCGCCGGTCTCCTCAGCGCCCGCCTCGGCCATGGCCAGCGCCGCCGGCTAGTCCGGGGCGACGGAGGCAGGCGCGGCCCCCCGCCCCGCAGGCATGAGGCCAGGCGCCCCTTCGCCTCCAGCCCAGGAAGCAGCAGGAGGCGGCCCAGGGCGGAGACGCCGCCGCCGCCGCCGCACCTGGGCGCGGGTTCCCTCAGCCGCCGCGCCGCCTCTTCTCGCGAGAGCGCGGCCTGGCCGCCGGAGCCAGAAGAGCGCCGAGGAGACGCAGCGAGGCCTCGGCTCAGGGCGCGCGGACCCCTGGACGCGGCTCCTCGGAGGGGAGGGAGCAGACATGGCTCCTCGGGGTCGGGCCTGGGCCTGCTGGGGTCCCTTGCACAAGGGCGAGGAGGAAGGGCGCCTGCCGCCGAGGTCGCCTCTTCGGCTCCGCTTCGCCCTCGGGCTCCACCGGCTCGCCTTGGCCAGCTCCGGGTCGGGGGCGCCGCTTGAACCCGCGGCCCAAGCCACGGGCAAGCCGAGCTCCGCCATCGCCGCCGCAGACCCAGATACGCCGAGGAAGCCGCTCTCTCACCCGCCATGGTGGTGCCCCCCGCCCAGTTTCTCTAATCCTACGCTATTCAGAAGATAACTCGCAAAAAGTGCCTTCTGCACCTGAACGCGCAGGTTGGAAAAGATGTTGCAACCCGGGGCGAGAGGGAGTCTTATGAACCCGCACCTGTAACAAAACCTGCTCCAGCAGGTGGCCAAGATCTGGCTTGAGGTTGCAGTCCTCTTGCAGGATGCACATTTTGTGAAAGTATGTGCCAACTTACCAGAGTAAACATGTATATAATTCTGTTGTCAACTACAGTATTCAAAAAGCTCAGGCCAGGCTGCAAGGCTGAAGTTGGAGCCTACCTCCAAGTGCCTCTATAAGAACAGATGTTTGGAGGCCTTCTTCCCAAAATAAGCTTTGAGCATTCCCAAATCAGAAAGCACGGCAGCTAATAAAATGTTCCCTAGGGAAAGGATGGGGAACCTGTGGTCCTCAGGTGTTGCTGGATTCGCAACTCCAGCCAGCATGACCAGCAATCATGGGTGTTTTTTACAAAACACATTTATAGCCCACAATTCCTCCAAGGTCAAGGTGCTGTACATAGTTCTCCACATTTTATCCTCACAACCCTCTGAGGTGGGTTAGACTAAGAGGCTATGATTGGCCCTAGGTGAACTTCATGGCTGAATGGAGATTTTAAACCCTGGTTTCCCAAGTCTTAGTCCAGCACTAACCACACTAAACTGGCTGACAGTCCAGCAACATTAAGAGGGCAACAGGTTCCCCACCATTGCCTTCTCTGATGCCCTAGCACCATGTCCACTGCAAAGCTTTATTTTTATGCAAGGCGTTACTAACTGTACAGCCCCCAGATCAATGCTTATAAATATGGAACTGAGGACTTTGAACCCTAAAAGAAGTCTTGGGCCATTTCCAATCATACACACTTGTTGACAGATGCCAGGCATTTTGATTCCATCACTCCAATGTTGTACAACCTGCACTGTTTTGTCTGTTTGCTTCCAAGCTCTATTCAAGGTGCTGGTGTTTTTGTTTAATCCAGCTTTCCCTGAACTGTGACTAATTTTGAATTATTGGTTAATTGACTGATTGAACAATATTTAATGTTTTGAATTTTATATTTTACATTTAACTTTTTTGTTATTGCTAACATTTTCTTTTGACTGAGTGGTGTATAAATTTGCTAAATAAACCAACCACTTGGGACCGCCTTCTTTTATACATTTCTCACACTCAGCTATATTGGTAAAGTGCTTTATGTGCATTATAACACTGACACCAGATGACGCTGTGGAGACCCGTCTTTAGCCAACGGGATTTCCTTGTATGAAGTTTACAATGCATTTAACTGAGTCACTTCTTTGATGGGGCTAGATCCAGTCATTAACTAGGCATCATCTGAAGCTTTATTCCAGCTCCCTCAATCTGTGGTGAACACCCACTCTAGGTATTTCAGGCATGTCATTTTTCAAGAAGACCTCTAGATGATTTTGGGGGGGGGCGTGTCTTGTGCCTTGCCACTTTGGAGTTATTACTGTGTTTGGGTTTGTTGGTTTCTTTTGTAGTTTTTAATGCTTCATTTGGCTTGGGGATTTTTTTAAAAAAACAAACCTGTTTTGATACTGTACCTCATTAGTTCCTCAAAACTTACGTGGGGCATACATTTTTGAAACAAAAAAATTGATAAAATTAAGAAGCAAGCTGTTGAGAGTACTTAAAAATGGTCTCATGCAGAAGTGCTCAAAAGCATAAATGGAGAACAGGGCAGCATGAAAATCAAAACAAAGTTGATCCAAGGCATATGTGAAAAGAAAAAAAGCAGAAAATGCTTAATACTGCAGAACAGATCCCGACTAAACAGAAATAGCTTTCTGACAATAAGCTGTTCAATGGTGGAATGAACTCCCTTGGATGGTGGTGGACTCTCTTTCCTTGGAGATTTTTAAGCAGAGGTTGGATGGCCATCTCTCTTGGATGCTGTCAGGGGTTCAGGAGCAGAGGCAAGGGCAAGGGAGGAAACAGAGAGCGAGGGGGAGGAGGCAGAAGAAAAGATGAGTGATGACGACGACCCGAGATCTCCGAGTCTTTCCAGTGAATCAGAAGATTCACAGAAAGGAGCACCAGTGGCCAGGGCAAGGGGGGAGACTAGGGGGAGACCCCAGGAAGATAGAGCCAGAGGGGACTCAAAGGAGAGCAGCTGGAAATCGGGACCAGCGTCACCGCCAGAGAGCAGGGAAGAGGAAGGGCGCCAGGGATCAAGCGCTGGCAGCTCACAACAGGGGGGAGGGCACGAGTCAGGAGTGGCCACACCTCCATTGGGGAGCGAAGAAACGGTTAGACGGAAGGTGGAAGGTTGGGCGCGCGCGCCAAGTTCAAATGCACAGGAAGGTGGCACGGTAGGCAGCCCGGAAAGGGAGCCAGGTCCTAAAGCCCGGCGCAAGGAGACAGGAGGGTCCGGGGGGTCAGCGTCAGAAGAGTCCAGGAAGGAAGAGACCACGGGGGGCAGAGGGACCCAGAGAAGAACAGTCAGGCGGAAAAGGTGGGACAGGGCTAGGATATTAAGTTGGTGTACAGGGGGCGGAGACTCAGACGGAGCTTCGCCGGTCTAGCCATAAGACGTAGAGTTGCACGCAGCAGCTTGAGAATGGAAACTGTAACTCAATAAAAGACTTTTACAAGTGACCGCTGGCTAGCGTGATCCTCTGTGAGCTAGGATCTGGAAGCAGCTCTGACAGATGCTTTAGCTGAGATTCTTGCATTGTAGGAGGTTGGACTAGATGACCCTTGGGGTCCCTTCCAACTCTACGGTTCTATGATTCTATTCCATTTTTTTAATCAAGGTGACAGGATGAAGTACTTCATGTGCTGTGTTTGAACAACATCCAGACAAGAGGACTGGCAGCTGTGACAATGACCCAGGTGGAGAATTCCTCCTATCTACCTGCAGTTCCATAAAAATGCTCTTTTAGAAACAATGAAAGATTGTACTTTCATATGCTTTCCCATGTAAAACATGGTGCATGTATATAAAACTAGTATGTTACAGCTGGGAATTTGTTGTAGTCCAACATCTGGAGGGCACTAGGTTGGTAAATGCTGAAGTAGACTCTTCCACCTGCATTCCAGCACACATTTTGCAGGGCTGTACCATAGATTTCTGAACAGCTGTGAAGTTTGCACCACTGCAGTCAGAATATTTCCTTTTTAAAGAAACCAGTGCTGCTCTTGCAGCCACAGGCAAAATACCTTGGCAATTTCATCCACGTTGGACCAATTGTCCAGAAAAACATTTGTTACATGCTGTGATTTCTTCTATTCACTCAGCTTTTGGACGTGCAATTCCATCAGGATTCTATTGTACACAATAAGCTATCATGAGGCGGGCCCATTTTCAAATCTAATGAAAATACTTTTCATTTTAGAGCCGCTTAGCACTGCAGTGCTATTACGACGACAATAATAATAATAATAATTGAAAAGGCAGGATTGTGGGGTGGGGCGGGGCTGCAAAGTGTTTTGAAGAGGCCTCTAAGATCACACGGGTGTAAGACAACAGTAAATGTAAACAAACTACAACTTGTAGAAAAGAATGCCATGTTTATTTAATATGCTGTAAAAAGCCTTATATAAATCTTTATAATGCTTTCTAGTGTAACTTTTCCCAAACCACAACTAATGAATTTGTATATTTAAAAAGAGAGAAAATATAGATTGTAATTCCATTCAATTCTCAAGTGATTTATTTTTTTTTGAAATTTTAGTCATTAAACAAGGTCAAGGTACTTTTCAAGCACTGATTATTTACTGGGGAAGAGCTGTGCACAAATGTGCAAAAGAAATAAATCAAAGAGAAAAAGCAGAAACTCATTCAAAGGGTTTTCTGCATATTTTCATGGGCTGTTGTGGTAAAAACTAGAACGAGTTCCCAGAGTACTACTATTTTGCCCAGAGATACAGAATCTGTGACTCTCCAGATGTTGGACTACAGCTCCCATCTTTCCTATACTGACTGGGGCTGATGGGAGCTGGAGTCCCAACAATTTCTACCCACTGCCAGCCAGCAAGCAAGCGGGCTGACATGGAGGGAATAGCTATATGGGTTTACAAGCAGCTCCTCTTGAAGAGCAGTAGTAGCGGGACATTTTGCCGCCTTCTGATGTGCTTCAGCACTTCGGATTATGGAGTGTGTTCCAGATACCATAGGAAATCAACATAAAACTGTGACTTTAATCATGGATCCAAGCAGCCTATGAAGTCTTCTGTGATCAGTTAACAAGGGTAATTCAGGTTAATACCAGGTTCTCTCTCACTGCATCCAGTGACTGTGGCTTTGTATAACCAACCTTTAAAAAAATAAAACCTCTAGCAAAACAAAACAAAAAGTGCAATTGCTCTAGCTATATTAGATTTCAAACACTGGCAACATTGGTTGATTCTGGATCATTTCCCCATACAAAACTCTGTCCATTTGTTCACTGCACAGCTCTCCTGGGATCGTACCATTCCAACAGGCAGATGGGGGATTAAACATGGAAGCTTGCATATTTGTGAGCCACTTCTCATGAAACCTCTCTTCCCTGTAGAAAGTTAGCATGGCAGGGAGAAGAATATTAGAATCCTTCCCAACATGCAGCTAGTTGCTTAAATGCAGGAACTCTGTTCAGTTTTTTCTTTAACTTGGAAGATGCAACTTGTCCACCACTCTAGTTCTGAAGTGGTCCACTTACAAAGAGGGCTGTGCTATGCGATATTTGCAAGTTCATCTCCAATTCATTGTATTAAAACAACAACAACTTACCCCACAGCCATCAATATTAGTCAACCCAACCCTCACCTCCCGAAGTTAAAACCATGTGAGTAATTTTCATCCTTCTTAAACACCACATGTTGACAAGAAGTGAACCATATATACTTCTAGTAAACAGAACTTTATAAATTTGCAATCAAGCCATTTCAGGATCTTTGGTAAATCAGAGCAGAATAAAATGGCACAACAAACCATCAAGGGGAAGTAAATGCAGGAGGAAGAAAATGAAAGAAGCAAAAGGTAGGTTGTACACTGATTTTTGAAAGCATATTCAGCTGCTGTTTAGCCTGTCGTTGTCCCAGATTTTTCTCCTCTCTACAAGTTTTCCACTATGAAGCTGTAGTTTAATTGATTTCACAGTACCATTTCTCCCCTGAAAATAAAAGAATTGCAGCTCTCTCCGCAGCGGTTTATTATGTTAAATGTACTAGGTCCCGGGTCCCATTTCTATACCAGTTCCAATCTGAAGTGCAGCTTCTCTTTAGGAGCCCTGAGCATAAGCCATTAAGTACAGAGAATAACCTTCAAAAGAGCTTGTTTCAACCAGTATACGCATTTGTTTCAAGCAGCTCCGTGACAATATCTTATGTCATCACATGCCATCTGTAGGAAACCTATTGAATAGCTACAAAAAAGTGGCTTCTGGTTTTCATACTGCATATCTAAAACCCTGCCCAGGTTAAACACACAACAGGCAACATTACTGAGAAGCAATGTCGCTTCGTACAAATGTGATATGGGTTGAACCCCTGGGCAAATTAGACACATTACAGTACAGAGCCACAATACAAACAGAGGCTCAATTGACCTTTTTACAAACACACACACACAAAGCGCGCAGATACAAAGATGTCCATTCCTTTTTTATTCCAGTACCTTTTTTATAATAAAGTTAACAAAAATATTCACTATTAAAAAAAAGAGTGAAAGAGAGAGAGAGAGAGAAGCCAGCTGGCACTGCCAACTAATTCTTGTAGTAGTCTTAGAAATCCTAATCCGGTAGAATTTCCTAGTTTCAGTCCATCGTCGTGACCATTTCAGTGTATTGAGATCTATGCCAAGCGGGTCTTGGTGATGCAGCAGCTACCTGAGTTCTTTGTTTTATTTCTGCTGTGTTTCACAACTTTCCAGCATTCATGTACGAAGGGATGGAGCCACGCTGAGTGAGCCCTTCAAACCTTTTGTAAGTATAATTAAGAAAAACCCAGTCCTTGGACTTGTAATCAGGTTCTGTGGTGTTTGGCACTAGAATGCAAAAGGAAAGATTATAAACACGCATGCATATGCACAGAGTCAAGCTTCAAGAAATGCCAAGTTAAATTAATATTGAAGACGGAAGTTAATCATTCACACTCTATAACTTTTAAATTACACAAATAAAATGGTGATGCATTTTACAGAGTGAACAAGAGGATAACTGCACACATTAAACTTGGACCCCTTCAGAATGCTTGGGGATTCATCAGTATTGCTCTTATTTATATGCATGATTTTTCTATTTTACATTTGCATTTTCCCCTAAACTTCTTGCAGTATTAGGGTTGCCATATTTCAGAAAGTGAAAATCCAGACACAAAAGTTATGGAACTTTTTTTTGGCAAAAATCTCAAAAAAAAAAAAAAAAAGCATAAAGTTTTTAAGCTATTTTTTTTTTGAAATTTCCCCCAAAACCAACACTTCCAACACGTGTTGCCTTATGCCCTGGTTTTCTCAGATTTTTGGAAATTCCGTCTAGACGCCATTTCCGATGGCCAAATCCCGGATATGTCTGGGAAATTCCAGACATATAGCAGCCCTATGCAGTAAGAAACACTAGTTGGAAGCCCACCCTAAAGGCAACCAGCTCCCTTCAGATTAAATAATTTTTATAACTATAGGGAGAAGCCTAGAAGCAAGAAACATAACTTAGTAGTAAGGAGATCAGTAAGCAGTTATGGGTGAATGGTCCATCTACCTCGTACTTTGTTCTTAAACTTACCTTACAAAGAAACATGTTTTGAGCAGATGTTAGTCTCTCCATTGTTCAGTTTATATCAATTTTATCTTCTTTCCTTCTATCTTGTTCTAACCGTCATAATTTGTTTTTAATCTCCCTCTCATCCTGTTCCTGACTCTAATTTTGTTTTTTTGTTTGCATCCCTTTCGGACAACTACAGGTGGCAACCATTCGAGGAGCGTCTAGTTGACGCATGATTGTTGGCCTACAGGTCTTTTTGGACCCGGAAGAAGGCAGAACGGGGGCGGGGCAGAACTCTCCCACAAAATGGTCCCCACCTGTACTCCATTATTTTGTCTACTACAAGGCTGAAACTGGTATAGCATCAAGCACAGTGCTGGATAAGTCTAATTTTGGCTATTATAAGCCTAGAGCAAAATAAAGTGTGTGGACTTCAGGTAGCTTTCTATCTCTCAGACTCTTCCCTTATCTTTGGAATATCCCACTTTCCAACTCTTTTTCCTTAGCACTTCTATTTCCCTTGTTTTGCCACTTCAGTCCTTTCCCTCATTATATCCTAGACACCTGGTCGTCGTTCTTACTTTATTTTTTATTAATTGCTTTAAACATTTATAAACACTTCCTCAAAGCCCATCCACAGTCTCTTCCCCTCTGTACAATATGCTCAGCTAATAGCACAACAACCTCTTCTGTACGCACTGCCCCTCAGTGAAATTAGGGCAGCTCAGGCAATCACTGACAAAATAAATCCATTACTGCATTACAGTATATATTGTTCTGAAGCGAAGAACACTTCAGTTTCATTTTAGTTTCTCATTTTCATCTTGCTTTTTTTCCAGAAGTAGTCAAAGTAGCTTAACAAAAGAAGACATACATAATTTATATCAAAACCTGATTAAAATGATAGATGCATAAGACACAAACAGGTTTAAAAGCAAGAAGTAAAAAACATTAAAAAGCCAACTGCAGCAAACCAAAAATATGCTGATCAAGTTTACATAAATTTGCTTATAACGTCTCAGTTTATAATGAAAAGTTAAGGAACACAAAGTACAGGTACAGGGGATGAAGCAAAAGGTGATAAAAAGGACACACAACATTTCTCCCATGTGACAGGGAGATGTAAGAGGCCTGCTAAACTGTAAGTGATGAGGTGGCCCCCAGATAACAAAAACAAGAACTCTGAAATGAGGCCCTATTCCCAAAATTATGTGGTTCATTTAATCCATATTGCAGCATTAATGCGCACTCTCACCTGGCTGTAAAATATCAGATTCTGGGAAGTCATCAAAATTGGAAGTGTCATCAATACTTTTGATTTCTATAGTGATTGCAGCTGGTCTCTCTCTACAGCAAAACAAAAATACCAGAGTAGTGAACAGCACAAGCAACTTTATAATAATTTCACAGTGCATTAAAAAGATCCTAACATCACAACTTTCTAGGAAGCTTCACTAGAGCACGTAGATGTTAGAGATGAAGTATATTTGCTCCATTCTATTGCTATTATTTCATGGAGGACCTGATGATTAAGTGCTGAATGCAGTCCACTGGATCTCTCTGTATAGCCACTGGGACTAGCCCCATGCCACAACCCTCACAAGCCCTGCTCCACACCCTTATCAAGTGCTTTTGCCTGGCTGGAAGGTGCCTTTGATTATCACTCCAACTTCCCTGGATAGAGAATAATGTTTGAGTGCAGGAACCTCTGACTTCTGCTGGAATGTACTGTACAAAGGCAAGAGTTGCATCTGTTGGCTCCATCTACTTTTTGCCTCTGGGTGTCAGAAGACTGACCACAAGGGACTGCAGTCCTTGGCCTGGAAAAGGTTTCCCATTCCTACTTTAATCTTTCAGCAACTGTACCTGATATGTCCCCAATCAACACCTTCAAAAAATGGGTGACTCTTAAGTTCTTCTACTCCATTGCTACCGATTCTGTTTTCTGCATCAGTGCAAAATCTGAGAGAAAGAAAACATGACAAAATGTTGCAACCAAGGTGGTCTACAATGAAAGATGAACGTTTCAAAATTCGCAAAATTGCAGTCTGAATCCACACTTCCAGTCACCAATGGAAATCACTACTGACACCAGGAGACTGCCTCTTCCACTCATGAATTTGTAAGGGAGTTTTAGGTTCCCTTACTAATTCTAAGAAAACTGATGAAACTTCTGCTGCTTGCAAGACATTCCCATTCTCATACAAAAATGTGCAGATGAGACAAGAACCACTTCTTCCCCATGGCTTCATTTACCAGAGGACTTTGGGCTGCATAGACAAACAACAAGAGCTGGGCACAACACCCCTCTTGCTATCCCTATGGGAAAAAGAGAACCCAAACAGAACATAGACAACTTTCTATTGGCTAAAATCCAATTTTTGAAAACAAATAAATCTGATAATGGGCTAGTAAGAATCACAACCTAATGCCAACATTTAGGATTATAGTGTACATTTCCATTTTTTGAAAACACAAAAGCTATTGACCCATATAGCAACCCTGTAAGTTAAGTAAGTATTATCTCTATATTCCCAGCACAGAACTAAGGCAGAGAGATAATATACCAAGTTTAAAATCTTATTTACCTGTGCTTTTAACAAATAAGGATGTAGATTTTATCACTGCTACCATTCTATTTTAACATATAACATTTAACATTTTATTAACATATAAAAGTGAAGGGGTACAGGAAGAATGCTATGCAAACAAGTAACTGGTTTTCCTAAGGTTACATTGTGGGTTGCAGAAATGTCATTGAACTAAGAATTTCCAAGATCATAGCTCAAGCTATTAAGACTTTTTAGTTTTGTGATTATTTTACACTAGATTCTTTTAACTGCCTTCCCACTTTTTGCCTCTGTAGGATTTCATTGCCATTTTAGCTTTATTCTGTAAGCTGCTCCAAAAGCAATGACTGAAGAACTGCTAATAAATATTTAAAATATAAATGATTTATATAAGTAAAATAAAAACATACAAGCATTTTGGAGCATTTCATCCCAATACTCAATGGTTCTGTTCCTCTTATTTCAATTTAACTGCACGGCAAATTTTAAAAAGTCTTAAAGCTTAATTTTTTAAAGATATTGACATACACCAAATTCCTTAAACCAACTAGATAATTGTGCCTTTACCGTGTAACACACCCAGAGCTGATTCAGGGTTATGGGAATTCATAGTGGTTTTTTGTTGTTTTTTTTAATACAAGGGCGTGGGGAAAATCCTTGTGGTGATCAGCTACATTGCTGGAGTGGAAGAGTTACGAAGTTCTGAGGTGCAATTTGAACAGGCTATGGGGATACAGTGGTGCCTCGCAAGACGAAATTAATTCGTTCCGCAAGTCTCTTCGTCTTGCGAGTTTTTCGTCTTGCGATGCACGGTTTCCCATAGGAATGCATTGAAAATCAATTAATGTGTTCCTATGGAAACCGCCTTCAGACCCCCGACCTCTTCTGAAGGCTGTGGGGGGGGGGACAAGGGCTTTTCTTCCCACCCCCAGCATTTTAAAAAACCCCGGGACAGCAGAGGACTTCTCCGCTGTCCGGGGCGATCTTAAAATGCTGGCGGGCGGCATTTTAAAATCGCCCCGGGACAGATGAAATGCTCCAAAATGCTTGTATGTTTTTATTTTACTTATATAAATCATTTATATTTTAAATATTTGTTTGGGGGGTGAAGGGGGGAGAGGGAAATTCGGCCAAGTTGCTCCGAGTCTGGCCATTGCCTGGCGGCGCCTTCTTTCCCCCGCAAACCCCCTTTGCGCCGCGGGGGCTGCCCTGGCTGGGATATATTAAAGCCAAGCACCCCATCAATTAAATGCCTGGGGAAGAGAGGAAACCGCGCCTCCCGCCTCCTCCACATTCAGCTGGCCTCGCTGAACTACAGGCTCGGGAAGGACCCCCAGGGGTCATCTAGTCCTACCCGGCGAAAGGCGCGAAAACCCGCCGCCCTTCTCTCACCTGCGCCGGCCACCGCCGCTGCCCTCAGCCCTTGGCTGCCGCCGCCGCCGGTCTCCTCAGCGCCCGCCTCGGCCATGGCCAGCGCCGCCGGCTAGTCCGGGGCGACGGAGGCAGGCGCGGCCCCCCGCCCCGCAGGCATGAGGCGAGGCGCCCCTTCGCCTCCAGCCCAGGAAGCAGCAGGAGGCGGCCCAGGGCGGAGACGCCGCCGCCGCCGCACCTGGGCGCGGGTTCCCTCAGCCGCCGCGCCGCCTCTTCTCGCAAAAGTCTTTGCTCCCCCCCCTGCCTTCAAAAGCTGTCCTGGACAGGCTTCGCGGACAGGCTTCGCGGACCATAGAGCGCTCCTGCTGCTTGCGGAGAGTTGCCAGCATGCCGAAGCCTGCGCGCGCTGAGATCAGCGCGCCCAGGCTTTGCGGCCCCGCCGCCCGGCTTCGGAGCACCGTTCCGAAGCCGGGAGGAGGTGTTCCCTCCCCGCCTCCCGGCTTCGGAGCATCGTTCCGAAGCCGGGCGGCGGGAGGAGGTGTTCCCTCCCCGCCTCCCGGCTTCGGAGCATCGTTCCGAAGCCGGGCGGCGGGAGGAAGTGTTCCCTCCCCGCCGCCCGGCTTCAGAGCATCGTTCCGAAGCCGGGCGGCGGGAGGAGGTGTTCCCGCCCCGCCGCCCGGCTTCGGAGCATCGTTCCGAAGCCGGGCGGCGGGAGGAGGTGTTCCCTCCCCGCCTCCCGGCTTCGGAGCATCGTTCCGAAGCCGGGCGGCGGGAGGAGGTGTTCCCGCCCCACCGCCCGGCTTCGGAGCATCGTTCCCGGAGATTTCCCTATGGGCTGTCGTCTTGCGAAGCAAGCCCATAGGGAAATTTGTTTTGCGAAGCGCCTCCAAAACGGAAAACCCTTTCATCTAGCGGGTTTTCTGTCTTGCGAGGCGTTCGTCTTGCGGGGCACCACTGTAATTATGAAGGAGCTGCACGATCACTGACTATAGCCAAATGGTAGATCACAGGCTTTGTACATCTTGAGATCCCCATTTCAGTCCCTGAATGAGATTATTTAAAGGATCTCAAAAGCAGAGTGTGCTGAACTAGGAGGACAATGCGCAGACTGTGCCTAAGGCAGCCTTGCAGGAGGCTGGTTTCTATTTGTTCCTGGAGATTCCTGTGCACCTTAGGAGGTGTGCCTGCTTTTAGTAAGCTGCTAATCAGACACTCCATTTTCATAATCTCTAATTTTTACTAAATTTTCAAAATAAAAATAAAAATCAACAGATTAACAAAGTTAACCAAACTCAAATTAACTATAAAAATTACAAATTAATTTCCAATTTAATATATCCTTAGAGATTGACTACCCACCCTTACCTCCATGGTCTTTCTACTGCCTTCCCTTTACTGCTGCATTATACAAATATTGTATTACAAAACTTTGATAAAATTATTATCAACTTTCTTTCGTTGCTTAAACCTCAAATCCTGCTCACAGTTTCATTTATCTATAATGTTTCTCCAGATAGTCCAAAAAAGAACTGAACTCTTACAAAAATTGCTTGTCTTCATCTCTTACGTTACTGTCCTCATATTCTTTTATTTTAAAAATCCATCTTTAGTTCACATTCTCTCCCCACCCTTCGTTCCACTGCTGCACACAGAAGCACCTGGGGGCAGTTATTTCATCCTCTTTGGAACCTTTGTCTCAGCTGTTGTTGGCGTGTTGGGAATCTTCTTTGTTAGTTACTTTCTAAGTTAGCATCACTTCTCCCAGCGGTTCTTACATTCTGATCATCACAAACATTCTTCTCTATAAAGCTGCTTGGTTCTGGAGGTTCTTAGTTTTGGTAGTTCAAACCCATCAGTCCAGCCACAGTCCTTCCAAGTCAGGTTCCATTTTGCAGTTCTCATTCAACCGGACAAAACAGGTTTATGTTGACATTCCTCTTCCACTGGAACTCTCCCGTTGTACTGTTACTAGCAAAGTACTTCCAATTTTACAGTATAAAGTCACATTATATTCAGATGTTCTTCTTTGGTTTTGATACTCCTTATTCCATTTTAATTTTGTTGCTCCTTATTCAGCTGACAACAGGGAAGGTAGCAATTTCTCAATGACTTTATAACTTTGATGCACAGCCCTTCTCTCTCACAGCAGCAATTTCATCTCTCTTCCTTCCAATAGTTAGATGAACAGACTTTCCCCTGCATCTACCAACTCCCCATTTCTGGCAGGGCACCTTTTATTTCATTTCCAATTAGTCCATTTTGATAGAAAGTAAGCCGTTTCTGTGTCGCCTCCAATGGAGTCTGCAACAGCATCGCCTGTGTCTCACCTCTTAACCTGCCTGAAAGGAGTCCTTCCATTCCTTCTGAACCAGGAAAGGGACAAAAATTATCTCTGTAGCTAATTTTCTCCTCTGATACCACGGGGGGGGGGGGTAGGGTGTGTGTGTCTTTCTCATTCCCCATTTGAGTCTTCTCTGATCTCAGACAAGTGGCTCCCCACAGTCACAGCTTGATGCAGAAGCCTATTTGCATAATCTTAAAATATGGACTCCCCTTCATGGATCACTGCCTTGTCGTGGCGAAGGGGCTTGAATAACTCAGAGAAGCTATGAGCTATGCCGTGCAGGGCCACCCAAGACAGACAGGTCATAGCTGAGAGTTTAGACTAAATGTGATTCACCTGGAGAAGGAACTGGCAAACTACTCCAGTATTTTGCCTAGAAAACTCCAGACATAAAAAAGGGAGAAGCTTTGAGAAGAAAGTGAGAGTTTCCAAGGCATGCTCTGGTTCATGGGGTCACGGAGAGTCGAACATGACTAAGACGACTAAACAACAAAAATACCTTGTAAATTTCTAGCACTGAAGCAAACTACCTTACATACCAGCATGCAGCAAGTTCAGATAGGTAAGCAAACAGTCTGGCAAGTCAGTCCCATTATTATTGACTATTCAATACAACAATGGACTAAAAACAATCCTCTTCTAATTAAAAGTGGGGAGAAAATAATTCTTAAAATGGCCAGCTCCAGAGAGTGGGGATTCAATATTTTGCCCCCCACCCGGGGCTAGAGGGACCCCCTTGGACTGACAAAGAAAAGTGCCAAATACATTTCCTAGGAGCCAAGAGAAATGGGCTGTGAAGACAACTCTAGGACAGTGAAACAGTGAAGAGCAGCATTACATACCAAGCACAGTCATGAGCGGGAAGATGTTTTCCATCAGATTGTGCTAGACCCTGACAGAAGTGCTGTCCCCCCCCACAACTGAGTGTGTGCTAGATCAAGTGTGCTCTAGAACACAAATAGCACCACTGCCTCTCCCTTACAACTCCTGTTGCTGGGGAAAATGAGAGGCAGGCTGGACCAGCTTCACTACAACACCACATTTTGCTGTAAGCCTGGTGAAAGCCATTCCAACTAAAATCAGCCATATAGTTTCATATAGGAATAAGCAACCAACTGTACTACACAGTTACTGCCAGTAAGATCCACTGTAAATCAGCCATGCATTCATACATACAATAAATCCCAGGGAGTGACAGTCTACTCAGGGCTGAAAATAGTATTAAACTAGCGCCCCAAAAACAAAAAAGATGGTGTGCAACGGCAGCAGCAGGGCAGTAGAGCACTGCTACTACTAATACTACAGCTACATCCCACTCAACTACCTACTACTGAGCCACCAACACAACTCCAGATTTTGCCTTCGTGCTACGTGAGTTTCAGCTTGCAGTGGTATTCCATAAAGCTGGAGTACACAGCCTCCAATCCTAAGAGAAGTCAATGCACTCTCAGAGAGGCAGTGTATGTGGTGTGCGGGAAGAATAGCACTGTCCCTGGGTAAAAATATTACAAGTTGAATGCAGGGAAACACAATGAGGTAAGTGAGGTAAGATATGTGGATATGACACAACTATATGTCAAATGTAAAAATACAAGCATAAACAAAGGTCCATGAAGTATTACGTTTGGAGTATTAAGTTTTGCATTCCTTCCTGCACTGAAATCACCTTTAAACCCCTCCTGTATCTTCAATTCTATTAATGTGCAAGAACTTAAGAGCTGTTTATGCTAAAGAAGAACAAGGATGACCATTTTTTAATAATCAGAACCAAGAAGTTACTCAGCAGCATACTGGCTCAAAATATTTAGGCTATTCTGGCTGCAGCAGAGGGAGAAATGGAACAACAAGGCTCTGCTGAGAGCTGCTTCATTTGCATCCTCCTCTCTCTGAACTGCTTCCACTCAAGCAGGCCACTGAAAAAAACTCTAACTTTAAGAACTCGTGTCTGAGTTCACTTGTTTTCCTCTTCCTTTTCCAATCCTTTTTCCTTTTGAGTCATGACTTTTAGATTGCAAGCCTGCAGGCAGGGACTGTCTTGCTTCTCGTTCATTCTTATGCAAGATGAGCCTTTTTTGGCTGAAGAGCAGGGTAAAAATGCTTAAAACCCTGACATCTACGTTGCTAAACTGGATCAGCTAGTCCTACTATCTTGCCCACATTACGCAACTGGACACTGCCAATTAAAGGTTTTGCCTTAACTTATTGTAAGGACCTTTCCTGCAGAATCTTGCTTCTGCTCCTAATTTCAGGAGTGATTTTCCACAATAACTTCAACAGCTTACAATTTTTTGGACTTCACTTACTTCAAAACATGGATTAACAAAGCAGATTTTATTGGGCTTTATTAGGGGTACTTTCTGACATAATGCCAGTGTTGTGGGAGCTTCATGCGCCACTGACTTAACCCTGGAAGCCTGAATGCATGGGAGAAGGCTTCCAATTCACTTACCTCCCACCCTATCACCCACGTTTGTGAGAAGAGCAATACTGTTCTGGAGAGTACCTGTGTTTGCAGACCCTCCCACATCCACCTGGATCCACATGGCAGAGGCTCCCACAGTGGTAAGGCAATGACCAAAGGGCTCTACATTGCATGCTCAGTGCTAACAAAGCTGTGCATCATTGTGTTTGTTCCACAAGCAGGAAAAGGGTAGTGGAAGAAAACAGAAGCATCAACTCACTTTAGAATTAAGTCCTTGGCTTTTTCTGAAATGGGCACCTCAGGTGGAAATACTAGGGTCTCTTTCCAATTCATAACTTTCCTATATGTTTCTTGAGGTGTTTCAGAGCAGAAAGGGGGATAACCTGAAGAAATGGGGGGGGGGAGGGAAATCATTAAATATGTACTGATTTGAATGTCAGATTTAGACTAAATTACAAGAAAGGTTATAAATCAGCCGCAGGACTGAATATAAACCTGCAAGTCAATCCTTGGCTGTCTCAACAAAATGCTCAGAGAGAAAGTGTTATTCTCATTGGAAAAGGGACAAAAAGATGAATGGGGTCAATAATTCTTACCTATTAGCATTTCATACATAATCACTCCCAAAGACCACCAGTCACATAATTTGTTGTAACCCGTTTGCATGAAAACTTCTGGAGCAATATAATCTGGGGTCCCAACAGTAGAGTATGCCTAAAAGCAAGATGATTTTAAGAAAAAGTTTTAGTCAATACTCTGGCAATCTTATTAACTGGAGTTACAATAATGTATAAGCATTCACCTGTCATCTAATAACAGCCTTTTAGTTGCTTGAGGAGATTGGGTGACAAGTAGAGGTTGCTGAAGCATGAATTGTTCAGCAGAAGGCCACCATGCTGAAAAACTTTGCAGAAAGCACTCAAAGCTCACCAAAAACTGTACTTACCAGCTGTCGCCTATTCTTTTTCCATGTTTCTGCTTTTCTCTTAGAGTTCATGTTCTGAAAGGCTAATTTGCAAAAATATAAATTATTGCATTCAATTTTACCAATACAAGAAAAATTCAGATAGGGCACAATCCCAATGTTACCTCTGTACAATGGGAGCTACGTTAGCATAGTTTAATAGAGAAACTGCACTGGTAAATGTGCAAACGAAAACCATGTTTAGGGAAGAAGGAATTATGTGGTTACTAGTGGTCAGCTCCTGAATGAGGGTATGAAAGCCAATGCCATCATTCCCCCTCCCCTCTCCAAACTTTCGTAAATGTGTGAAATCAAGTTTTATAGATGCAAGGGATGGAAAGTGAATGCAACACTGGAAACCGTTCGTGCCAAATATTTGTACAGGACTTCAGCACAGAAGACACAGGAAGGTGGACTTTGTTTATAACTGAAAAACGGGTATCCAGTTTTGTTTTTGTGCCATGATCTTTGGTCTCGTCCACACATGGAGCAAAATTAGGCAGCTGAATAGGCCATACCACTTCAAACTGCAGGTGGGGGTGCCATTTTTTAATGCTTGCCAATGTGTATGTGGTTTTTAAAAAAACAATACCACCTGCAAACAAAAAGTAGGCACATAGTAGTGAGAGTTAGGAGAAGGTTGAGCATGATGTCTGTGTGTTTTTTAACTTACAGAATTAAAAAAAGGAACTTTGAAAAATGGTAGTCTATTCTATCACATTTTGCTGCCATGTGTAGACCAGGCTGAATTTACATGGCCTTGTTTCAAATATATATATCTAATTTAGAGAGGGGAGAGGCTCTTATCTGTTAGAAAATTCCATTCCACCTTAAGGAGCAGACATGGGATTGTTGCGTGTCACATGTCTGTTTACATCCAGCAGAGTCTGCTGGGAACTTCCGTTTGTGTATAGCTTTTGCTTTTCTCTCTCTCTGAGGAGAAGAAAGGGAGACAACATGTTTTCTTTGTCCTGATTTATGCTTAATAAATCTTTAGCTGTTAGTATGTTTCCACAAGCCTCACACCTCTTCTGTTTGTGCAGTACAGTGGTACCTCGGGTTAAGAACGTAATTCATTCTTAACCTGAAACTGTTCTTAACCTGAAGCACCACTTTAGCTAATGGGGCCTCCCGCTGCCGCCGTAGCACGATTTCTGTTCTCATCCTGAAGCAAAGTTCTTAACCTGAAGCACTATTTCTGGTTTAGCAGAGTCTGTAACCTGAAGCGTATGTAACCCGAGGTACCACTGTATGCTCTGCTAATATAGCGTGCTCAGGCTTTTGAAGTCTGAGTCGCTGATTTACGTCGCACCAGAGATCGGGGGATCGTCACAGCTGGAAGGACATGATCCAGCTGGGGGCTAGCCAGCAGGCATCTCAACCCCCGAAGGATGCTGACATTATCTACCAAAGTTTTGAATAGTTAGCAGGGCAACAAGAGAACCTTTTGGCAACACCTGGTTTACTGTCCCCCCAGTCTTGGAAAGGAGGACGACTACTAAAACAATGCTACTGCCAACTCACACCACTCACTCTCTGCAGCTCTATTTTCCCAAGCCACCATTGTTCATTTTCTCTAGCAGCAGTTAATATCACCTGACCAGGCAAAAATGGCAGCTGCTGGAGCAAGTGACCAAAGGTTTCTTTAGAACACCAACCAGAGCAAAGAAGTATGAACTTGGCTCTGTTCTCATTCAAAAAGGAGTGCTGGCAAAAGGAATGCACTTATATAATGCCTAACCTGTATAGTGTACCTATCAATGCCTCTGAGGGAGTGCAGAGTAGTTTAATACTTTTAAGCTACAACAGGCTGTACTTACAGAAGTCACTTGGTGGATTGTGTGTAAGATTTCTGTAGAATTCGGTTCTGTGAGCTTTCTTTAAACCTGTGCAGAGTCCAAAATCAGAGAGTTTTACATGCCCCTATGGAAAGAAAACATTACATGAGTTTAGGTGCTGAACTACCGAAAATCCTTTGAAAGCTTGCAAGTCCTTGCAAGTCCATGCTTAAAATGCCCAAAACCAGAAGAGAATTACAACAAAGGAAAAGGCACATATTTTGAAAAGAAAAAAATGATTTTCAGTCAACAGCATTGCATTGTTCCGGTTGAGAGGAGCCTGTTTCCCAACTCCTTTCCTCTAACACCTTTGCATGTACCAGGAGCAGGTAACCTGCAAACTGGAGCAGTCTGAATGCAGACCTTCAGGCCTCTCTCTGGCCAACTGAACTCTCCCCAAGTGACACCCCTTACTGGTCCTGCTTCGCATCAGAGTGTGTTTTTGCCAGGCTGGAGTGTGTCCTTGAACTCTGGTGTCTCTGGCGTGTCTGGATGGAGAATAGAGAGGATACGCTACTGTGTGCAGAAACTAGCTTATTGTACAAAGGTAAAATTTACATTTGCTGCTCTGCCTGCTTCTGCCTCTGGCCTCACCCATCACTGGCATTTGGGCCTTGGAAAGTTGTTGTTTATTAAATTTATATACCGCCTTTCATAATAGGATCTCAGGGAGGTTTACATAATAAAATACAAGATAAAAACACAATAAGTAAAACAAAACAATAACTCCCCTTCCCTTTTGAGGTTGCTCAGAAGGGAACACATCCATTGAGCTGAAAAGTATTCCCCATCCATGGCATAAACGTATCGTGAGGGACAAGAAGAATGGCTTCCTACCATGGTCGCTGGCCAGTCCCTTCAGCCTTTGCATGCTGCAAATACCCAATGTCAGAATGAAGACAGGAAAGTACAGGAGATGTAAAATCATCTTATACCTTTGCATCCAGGAGAAGATTATCTGGCTTAATATCTCTGTGAATAAAACCCAGCTGGTGAATGGCATCAATGGCCAGCACAGTTTCAGATATGTAAAACTGTGTTTCTTCCTCCGATAAAGTATCCTTCTTCATTAATAATGTCATCATATCTCCTGAATCAAGGAGAAATATATATTATAGGATTTTACAATTAAATAGGCTTTGGTAGTCCAAATATTTACAAAGACACCAGCTCAATCAGTTCCATCAAGTATTTTCGAAACTCAGCAGTTCAGAGCAAAGTGATGAAGGCTCTTTCATGAAATATTGGGGGGACTCCAAACATTTTATGTAGTCACTTACATATACACTTAAGCCTTCTCTTGATTTTTTTAAAACAATTAATAACTGTGTTTGTATTATTACATTATGTCACAGAATAAAAGCCAGTGTGAACAAAACATTCCTCATCCTTTAATTGTGCTTAAATGATTGGGAATAGCTATACACTTTCCTCAGTCTAGGGACACAGCTATATAGCTGCAAATAAAACGTTTTAAGTGAGTTTTAAGTGCAATATACAATCTACAGTGAACCCTCTGGATATGAATGTAATTCATTCCAGGGGTCCGTGCATAACCCAAAAAATCCGCAAGTAGAGGGGCCACTTCTGCGTATGCGGCAAAACCCGGAAGAATACACTTCCGGGTTTGCTGCGTTTGTGACCCAAATGTTACGTTATCTGAAGGTAATGTAACCCGAAGGTCCACTGTATTTTAAAAAGTGGTGTTAATTTTTTTAAAAAAATTTCAGAGCGGTTTTTATGTGTGTCTAGATTCCACCCAGCTCTCAATCCAGCGAGTGACACTGGTTTCAGGTATGAAGCATGGACCATTTATTTACCTCCAGGTAGAAACTCCATGATCAGGTAGAGATTCCGTTTGTCTTGAAAACTATAAAACATCTTCACCACCCAGGCACCATCTGCTTCAACCAGTATATCTCTTTCTGCCCGTATATGAGCCACCTATAGTTGTGAATATTGAACAATGAAACAGAATGTTCACAATAGCCAATACATAAAGAATTATTCTCCTACATAAACCACCAGTTGACCGATTTTTATATGCAATGCAGAAACGCATTACTGCTAGATAATATAAAAGTGTAAGTACATGGGTGTGCGCACACACACACTTCCCCAAATAGACTAGTGTGATTTCAGTGTCAGCCTCAGAAAGTTACAATGCATACAAACGCCATTGATATTATTCAAATTTTAGGACTTCCGGGTTGGCGCGATCGGGAAATGGCGGATTCCCTCCGAGCTGCGGAGGGAATCGGCTCCACTGAGGACGGGTCTTGCCGCGCCGGCGACGCGGGGACCCTTAGAAACCGCAGGCGCTGAAGCCTGCGGACGGGAAGACTCGGTGGGCGCCTTAAGCGCCCCCCCGACCCACGAAGAGCCTTTTTAAAGGCTGCGGAGAGGGTACGGAGGGTGGTGTGGCGCTGAGAGTCGATCGCTACCTCGGTGGAGTGAAGCCGCGAGCCATAACTGGAGAGCGCTGACTTTCTTCCTTGAAATTTGGACTGAAAAAAAACCAGTGAGTAGAATGGAATTTGGTTTTAAAAATTTTCTCCTTTGAATTCGAGACGACCGGGGGATGTGCTAAAAGGAAGTCCGCACCCCCCTTACTTACAGACAATTTTAAGCAAGGAACGGAGAACTAAGGTGGAGAGGTTATTTTATCTACTACAAAAGAAACTAACTTCCACGATTTGACAAAAGAAGTGTTGTACTGGAGAGTGAGAGCGGAATTTTGGAATTTTTTTATGAAAGCCCCCCCCCCGGACCAGGGGGAGTCCCGCGTCTGAGCCTGTTGAAGAGGAATAAGGAGTTTGACAGCTGTCAAAAGAGCTGTCAAAGGGACAGTTTAAATTAAAAGTTTGCTAACTAATATCTCTCTGGACTAAAAGTGCTATAAATTGAAACAAAGTTGTTGGAAATTTGAAAGAAAGAAACAAAAAAAGATTTGGACTGTTGGAAAAAGTCTACAAAATAACCAGAATCCCTCTAGGGGGATTCCTAAGGCATTACAATGGCGGCAGATGGAAAATTACAGGCAGAGATAGACAGGATGTTTTTTCTCGTGGGAATTTTGCAAGAGCAGAGTTTGTCTATGAATAAACAACTCATGACCTTGACCTCTGGAATAAGCAACTCTGCTGAATGCATCAAGGACTTGACAGGAAAGGAATCTGCAGCTGAAACAGAAGTGATATCTCAAGAATTGGAGGAGAAAGTACAGATGGGAAATACCAACAAAAAGCCTACAATGGTGGAGTGCAAGGAAAAAGACTCTTGGAGCACATGGATTACAAATCTGCAAAAGATGTTAAAGATGAAGGAGGGGGCCCCTGAAGTATCTGGAATACAGGAACTTAAAGGAAATAAGAAATATGACTGGGGCTCCCCTTTTGAATATGAAAGGCTGGTTGATTCTTGGCAGCAGTTGTTATCAAGTATCCAGGTGGGAAGAAAAACTGGAGTGACGGAGATTGAACTGCTCCGAGACCTGACGACCAATACAAAGGATTTCCAACAAAACCGGCGGAGAGGAACTGAAAGAGATCGGAAAGCCTCGGACGTGAGGAATCCAGGCTAAAAACTATTGCTGACTTTTATTTGAGAAGGGACTAGAACCGGGGAAGGGGGGGAGGGGAAAGCAGAATTGTAAGCATGTTTATGAATTTTGGGTTGGGTGAATAGGGCCTATATCTAATATAAAAATGAAATCTGTGGAAGGGAACTTGGGTCGACCTTAGGAAAGAATCTAAATGTTTATAAGAGATGGGGATAAGAGAAATGTGGCTAATTAGGAAGAGTTATATCAAAAATATTAATCCATAGGTTAAGGAGGAGAAATTAGAACTTGCTGAACTAATTATGGGAATAGGGATGTATGAAGGGGGGTGGGGGGGAGTCCAGGGAATAAGGTTAAGAAAGCAAGGTTCTCAGAATATGCTTGTTCTGTTTTGTTTTTGTTGTATTTTTGTGTGTTTGTCTTTAAAAATTGTGAAAACCCAATAAAAATGTTATTAAAAAAAAAGATATTATTCAAATTTTAGTACTTAACTCTGTGTCATTGATTTCAGTGGGACTTCAACATTCCTTCTATGTTGCCCTCTTGGACAATATAAGCCAAATAATTTCAAAGAAAGCCTATTTATGCTAACAGAGGTAACAGCTGTCAGACAAGCTCAATCAATTTGCAAGCTTGAGGTCCATTTCGCAGAACCAAGCTTTATGTGTTAAGGCGTAGTGATCATGTATCATACATGCTCACATGAATTCGCTCTGTCTCACAGTAAACAATACAATAAACAATAGTTTACAGTAAACAATTAAATACCACAAGGTACAGTGGTACCTTGGTTTGCATATGTCTTGGTTTGCATACGTTTACATGTCAAGCCTGGAAGCGCGTGTCCTGGTTTGCAACCTTTTTTTGGATTATAATTCATTTTTTTTGGATTACAAACAATTTTTTTGGGAGGCCCCATTGGCAAAAGTGTGCCTTGGGTTACAACCTGTTTGGGTTTACAAACGGACGTCCGGAACGGATTATGGTTGTAAAGCCAGGTACCACTGTATTTAATTCTACCTTAAAATGCAACACCTGATTAAGTGTTTCAAGGGATTGGCTTCTTTTGTGTTTTGTTATATGACCAGAAGTGGTTTAGTCCTGCTGGTCACATGACCCAGAAAGCTGTCTATGGTCAAATGCCAGATCCCTCGGCCTGAAAGCGAGTTGAGCACCGCACCCCATAGTCGCCTTTGACTGGACTTAACCGTCCTGGGGTCCTTTACCCGACCTAAATGGCCAATGCCAGCCTTTACTTCCAGGGGTGCCAGCCAAGATGCACCAACACACCTGGGCTACAAGCTACACTTTTCAGATTTTTTGAGAGATAAGTTGTACAAGTATGGATCCGCAATGCTGAATCTGTGACAAGACAGCTTCACACAGCTGTTGCATAGTGCCACAAAGCCTCTCCTCTTCCAAGAGGGGAGGTGTTGTGGGCGGGATGCGATTTCTGCGTCACGCAGGGGCCATTACGCAGGGGCCACTCACCTGGCTGGTGCACCACACCCACAGGTAAGCACCCAACCGGTCGGCTTGGAGGGGGCGTGGTTTGCAGTTTAACTTACTGCTGCGCCAGCCATTCTGCCTCATTTTCTGCCTTCCCGTCGCGAGTCTGAATCTGTGTCAAGACAGCTTCACACAGCTGTTGCATAGTGCCACAATTCCTTCCAGTCCAGGATGCAATATTGTAATATTTGCACACAAACTGACTAAGGAATCACATCACACTATTCCCAAGAAGTTTATAAATACACACTTTTCCAAAGACTCTGAAGAGAGTAGTACGGCATGGATATATAGCCACAGTCCCCAGTGTTTTATTTTAAAGACAGCCTTATCTGTCTTCCACCCTCCCACACCACAAAGAAGATCTCAAAAATCCCATTCTCAGCCAACTCATCCTTCTATCTTGCCCAACTTCTCTATAAACAGGTAAACTAATCTTTCAGTAACTTATCAATTCTACTAATAGTGAGAAGCAATTCATCCTACTGGCAACAAATGTGCTGCAGGAATAGGTATGGTCCTTTTTCAGCAATACTACAAATATATATTGCACACAACACTGCATATCATCACTATTGGTTTTGAAGGGCTTGCAATATACTAAAAAGACATACCTGCTCTTTCTCTAGCATGTCAGCTTTTCTTAGTATCTTCATTGCATAAATATGACCCGTATCTTTCTTTTGAACGAGGCGGACCTGTGGATTAATTTTTTAAAAGCCATTATTAAAGCATACTGTTAAGCTAACAAATTTGCAATACTGGGGTAAATGCAGCAGACTGGTTGAATAGCAATTCCAAAACTGGAAGAAGGGTGAGCGTAAGAGGCAATCTATATGAACACCTGATCTCTGCTACAAAGAGCAACAAATGCTACTAAAATCCATGAAGATTAGAAGGAAGGTCTCTAAGGAGAACTGAGAAAATTGGGAGTGAGGGGAGAGAAACCTAAGTTTACTGATTGTTTATTGAATGTTTATCAGAGTTATTAAAAAAAAAAGTCTCAAAGAGCCGGCCAGGGGAGGGAGAGGAGTACAAAAAATGAAGAATTCTGAGCTCATTATAAGGTCCGCCCCCCGCTCCCCGCATACCATAAACAGGATTATTGTTCAGTTAAGTTATCCTGACAGTAAGGTATCCTGAAATAAAGAGGTCCTAAGAAAATACACAAATTACGAACCTCTCCAAAAGCACCTCTTCCAATAACTTTCAAAGATTCAAAGTCATCGAGGCCTAGCCTTGTTCTCTTCAGCCGCAGAAATTCGGTTTCTTTGCGGGCATGCTGAGATCTTCGTAGCTTTTTCTGAAATATGTATTAAGCATGAGAAAATCCACAACTCATACAAAAATGGTATAAAGAAGTAATCAGTTTATAATGCTACTATCACCAAGTATGGGATATAATTCCCTCTAGCCTCCCATAGGGAGGAAGGACTCAGTGAGTCCCATTGGTGTGGTTAATGTATCATAAAGTAAGAACACAAGAATAGCCCTGCTGGGTCAGGCTAGGGGCCCGTCTAGTCCATTGTCCTGTTTCCAGAGTGGCCAACCAGGCGCCCATGGGAAGCCTGCAAAGAAGCCATGCAAGCAACAGCATTCTCCCTGCCTCTGACCTTGGAAGTAGACTACAGTCATCATGGCTAGCAGCCACTGATAGCCTTTTCCTCTATGAATTTGTCCAGTCCTCTTTTATAGCCATCCAGGTTGGTGGCCATCACAAATTCCATAGTTTTAACCATGTGTTTCTTTCGTCTGTCCTGAATCTTACAACATTCAGTTTCACTGGATGCTCATGAGTTCTAACAATACAGTGGAGCCTCTACTGACGGACGTAGTCAGTTCCGTAGGTCCATCTGTAAGTCGATCCGGGTCGCTGGTAGAAGCACCATTGCGCATGTGCAGGTGGCGGCTGCCACTTTTGCATATGCACAAACAGCAGAAGCCACTTCTGCGCATGCGCGAACCACGGCAAACCCGGTATTTACTTCCGGGTTTGCAGTGGTTGCAACTTGGATCAGGCCCAAGTAGAGGCGGTCATAAGTAGAGGCTCTACTGTACAGTGTAAGAAAGGGAGAAAAACTTTTCTCTACCCACTTTCTCCATGCCATGCACTTTTAACTCACCTTTTCACTAAACAACAACCCGTGTGTGCTGCAGGAATGTAGCGTGGGGGGGGGCTTCTGGGGTGATTGCCCTGGGCACACTGGAGGGGGGGGGCTCATCCCCGAGCCAGCCCTGCACTGGTGGTGCTTTGGCAGCAAGGGCTGGCCTGGCACAGTGGGCTCCGTTTGCCCTCTGCACTTCAACCCCCCCCCCCGGCGAGGGTGCATGCTGTCCCCTTTCCTCACAGGGGAGTTCCTCCATCTCTTTGATAATTTTGGATGCCCTTTCCTGAACCTTTTTCAAACTCTACAATACCCTTTGTGAGGCGAAGTGACCAGAACGATACACAATATTCCAGGTGTGATCACATGATCAATTGGTATGATGCCATTCTGGTACTGGCAGTTTTGTTTCTGATTCCTTTCCTCCTAGCATTTGCCTTTTCAACAGCTGCTGCACTCTGGCCAGCATCTTCATAGAGCCTCCTCTACAAGCCCAAGGTCTTGTTCTTCATCAGTCACTGCCAGTTCAGACACCATGGCCATATATGTGAAATTAATATTTTTTTGCACATTTAATATTAAAACAAACAAAATGTAATATTTAAGCATAAACAAAATTTAATATTTTAAAACAAACTATGGTTTAATATGATTATGCAGCAGGCTGGTGCATAATCTCACACCACCTCTGTGCTGTTTCTGTCACAATGGCTTGTTGTGCAAACCCAGGCTTATGGCTCGTTTTCCTCCAATGACCTACTTCAAAAAGACATATCACTCCTGGTCAAAATAGTTAAATAGGCAGTGGTATCTTAGCTAGGACTTAGACCTTGGAGAGCTGCTGCTACTGAGAGTATTGAGGTAGATAGACCAATGGTCTGCTTTTGTGTAACGCAACTCTATAGGTCCAGGCACGGCCATTACTTTGAGCCCCATCTTCAACAGAAAATTGGTTAATAACTGATATGCAAAATTCAGCATGCTGCCGAATATTAGAAAAGGTGCCAAATAATAGTTTTCATGAGCAAAATAGACAAACATCAGTTGGTAGAGAATGAGACTCTTAATCTCAGGGCCATGGATTCAAGCCCCACATTGGGCAAAAGATTCCTTCATTGCAGAGGGTTGGACTAGATGACCCTTGTGTTCCCTTACAATGCTACCTTTCTCTGATTCTACTATGATAGGGTGCCTCTAAAAAACTCAATGTTTTTTTATCTTGCATCATTCACAGCCACAAGATGGCACTGTATACCCATTTCTGTCAACATGAGGTTCCCAACTTTCCCAGTCCTCTTGTAGCATGCTATCGGGGCACTGGCTCCTGCCCCCCCAAAAAGAAGTTTTAAAGGAGGATGCTAAGCCCCCTCAATATCCAGTGGTGACATCACATCATCACACAACATCGCCTGCGGGATGTCACATCATTGTGTGACACTGGCCCTCTCAATTGGCGGCGCAAGCCTGCGCCAATGTGTGTTATGAAAAAATTGCACGGTCAATATAATGGCAAAAACTATTGCAGAATCATCCCCACTCTCGTGGTGCTATAAGGAATGGATTACTAGAGCATGATGATTCATTAGTAGTTCTACTTATAAAAGTGAACCACAGTGACTTGCAGCACAGTATAAACACTAAAATCAATTACAACAAACCAACCAATAAAAACTGTTTGAAAATCTTTGCCAATAAAAGGCAGTCTTGCTGAATCTGCCATGCTAAAAGAGACCACAAGTGTTTGAAACCATTAAAATATCAATACTGGTTCAATTATATGGGATTATCTTCCTCCTTAAGGAAAAGGCAGCTCCTTCTACAGAATAACTCTCTAGCAATCCTACTTTCCCACAGTGACAGAGAAGGTGCCGTTATTCCCTCCTACCTGTGTTCTCTTCGTCCTACTCTTGCTTTCTAGGCAACGTGATTCCAAGACAGACAGCTCAAGTGAAGACCCGTGAATCATTAAGCACCAATTCTGAACAGTAAACTGTAAAAGCTTCCAGCTTAAATTACATTCACATTACCTCTTCATCTGCTAAACCTTCCTCCTCCATGGCCACTTCTAGTTTCTTCTGCCTAAGTTGGTAGAAAAAAAAGGGTGCGTGTATATATTATAAAATGAACGGCCTGTATTTTACTCTGCTAGAGTGACTTCACTCCTCAAATCATATCAGTAGGAAGAATTGGAACACAGAAATGTCGAGTACAGAATACAAGTTTATTTTAAGCTGCCACTGTTCACCCAATGCCCTTCCTCATCTTTCCCCAACTTGGCACCCAGCAGATGTTGAACTACAACTACCACCCTCTCTGACCATTCACCAAGCTGGCTGCAACTGATGGGAGCTTGGGTCCAACACCATCTGGAGGACAACAGGTTGGGGAAGTCTGGGTGACATACATAGATCCAGAGGACCACTCAAACACTCATTCGCCTGCTTGGGTCCCTTTTCCCTGGAAGGTGAGGAGTGGAGCAAAATCCCTGAAGTGAACTGTCCAGCCTCCTGGTTGCTAATCCCAACACAAGAGAATAGAAGGACACAAGACCACATAAGAACAATCTTCTCTCATCTTACATGTCTCCACCTTCTCCTCTTTCTTGCAAAGTATCGCAAAACATGTTTCTTCACTGACTTGGTGTAGGAAAACAATATCCAACTAAAAATAAAAAGGTACATTTTGCTGAACAACTAGATAAAAAGCAGAGCTTCTTTTGAGACCTCTGCTTTTCCAAGGGGTTAATTAACAAGGACATTGATACACAAATATCAACATTGTAAACCAGGCTTCCTGAACCTCGGCCCTCCAGATGCTTTGAGACTACAATTCCCATCATCCCTGACCTAGCTAGGGATCATGGGAGTTGTAGGCCAAAAATATCTGGAGGGCCGAGGTTGAGGAAGCCTGTAATGTAAACAGAGGCTTTTTTTGCAGAACAGCAGCTGAAATGGCACAAGGGAAAGCTGCCAAAACATTTTTAGCTATTCACACCAAGAAAATAGGTGGTCAGTTAAAAGTTATTTGCTAGCCAGAGTTGTGTACATGTTTTGAGGGGGAATAACAGACCCCCCCAAACATCTACCACACATAGAAAACTCAAGTGTAGAAGAAATCTAACAGCCAGTACCTGGTTTCTCTTTCTTCATGCTGTAAAATGAGGTTACTATAAAAGTTCTCCAGCGTGAGCTTGGCCACTGTCACTCTCTCCCGGGTGTGGTTGCTCATGGGAAAGGAAGTTGGAGTCCCTGCAGTCATTGCCATAGTAACATGTACTGAAACAGAGTGCATAAAATAATCATTACTCCGCAGAAGAAAATCCATTTCCCCTCACCAAAAAATAGAAACTCATGATGAGGAACACAGAGTCCCTTACAGTATTAACTCTGTATGAGCTGCTTTAGTACTGTGGGGTGTTCCACTAAGTCACTCAGGAATCTCCTTTGGGTACAGCAGATTGATACTGCCATTTCCGGCCTGTGTCCCACACAGTATGGACCTGTAAACACACCCACCCAATACCAAAGACCCAGAATCCAATGAAACAGGAAGAGGAAAGCAGATCTGGATGTATATAATGAAGTTACATTGAAATCACTGCCCCGTCAACCACCACTGAAGATGTCAAAGAAAACGAAGAAGTCACAAGCTTCAGTGAAATTGGCTAGAAAGGAACCTGTCTGAGCTCTCCACCCCTCGCTGCTGGCCCCCACAAAGCTAGTACTGTAAAGGCTTATATTTTTGAAACTAGTGCTTTTTCAGGTTTATTGTCAAGGAGAGAACAATTAAACATCATTTAAAAATTTACACCAGCATATATATATATGAGATATATGTATGAAAACAACCATAGTGCTATGATAGGGAGATTTCACAATGAAAGCTCCACCCTAAAAGAGGCCTTATTTCAGGTGGAACATTTTCTCTCAGACAACGACAGTCTGCTAAAGAACATAACTGTGTCATCTTAATTCACAGGGCAAGAGGAATATAAGAGAGACATCAAGGTTATTAAGGGCTTCAAAAAAAGTTAAAGACAACTTCTGGTTCAAGGAAACACTCACTGTAATCAACATCCCTTTCTAAGATGTGTTGCTGGGGTAGGGCTATTTCTCCCTCAAAGGAGTGGGGATAATAATTGGGAGTCAATAGTATATCGCCCAAGGGCATATGTGTGATTGGGGCCACCCTGCATCCATTGCCTCCACTACATGCAGATGTTCAGGAGACTGGTGAGTGTCCCAGTCAGAAGGAAGCAAAATATCTCTATTACAAGGCAAGAACATTTTAAACAAATATTTTTACTAGATAAACCACGAAAAAAAGACAAGCCTCTTTCAGCAGCTGCAACGAAGTCCACAATCTTGTGCATATGCACATAATCCTTCCTCTTACTTTACCATGATATTGTGACAGACACTGCAATCTGGCGCCCAAACCAATTTTACTAGGAGGCAGCAAGATAATGAGAATCTGAAACAAAGCCTAAGAAGGAAAAGGGTACACTTTTAGAAGAATGTAATATCTGCAGAATTTCTTACGGGATCTATAAACTCAAAGGAGACACAAACTCTAATGAATGTGAACTTGCTAACATTTCAATTCATTCTTGTAAAACAATGAGTCAATCATGCACTGCCCAAACAGATACATTAAAGAGTGTAATATACACTATTAAGATGCTATGGGCTGGATTCAAGGTGAATTAGCTGAACTTATCTCAAACTGAAATCAATGGGACTTGAAATCAATAGTAGCTTGTCCCATTGATTTCAGTTTGAACCAAGCTCAACCAATCTGGTCTGCATCCAATCCAATTTAAGTCACCCATGAGTCTGGCAGTTGTGAGAATCACGACATATGTACACAAAACAACAAGAGTTTCAGTAGTTCAATCCTCTTCAGTTTCGCTACCATCAGAAACGTGCTGCCAGTGTTCACTTAGTTCCAGAATGTTACCCTCTCACACAGTCATTACCATCGCATATGTTTGGAAATCACAGGTTGACCTTTCAAAAGCGATGTGATAATTATTTCTAGTCAAAATTATAGTTCACGCTTTCTGTCTGCTGCCTAAACATCTAGAGTAAGGTAAAGGGTCCAGTTGTGGCCGACTCTGGGGTTGTGGCGCTCATCTCGCTTTACTGGCCGAGGGAGCCGGCGTACAGCTTCTGGGTCATGTGGCCAGCATGACTAAGCCGCTTCTGGCGAACCAGAGCAGTGCATGGAAAAGCCGTTTACCTTCCCGCCGGACGTGCTTTTGAACTGCTAGGTTGGCAGGAGCTGGGACCGAGCAATGGGAACTCACCCCGTCACGGGGATTCGAACTTCCGACCTTCTGATCGGCAAGTCCTAGGCTCTGTGGTTTAACCCACATGCCACCCGCATCCCTTAACATCTAGAGTAGTGTTTCGCAAACTTGGGTCACCAGCTGTTGTTGGACTACAACTGCCATCATCCCAAGCTAGCAGGACCAGTGGTCAGGGCTGATGGAAACTGTAATCCAACAACAGCTTGAGACCCAAGTTTGAGAAACACTGGAGTAATTTTTCTGTAGCATAAAGTGATTGGATTGGAGGTGGGGTAAAAAAAAAATACTCTGCACAGCCTGTTTCCCTGTGATTCCTGTACTTACTAATACAATGGTACCTCGGGTTACAGACACTTCAGGTTACATACTCTGCTAACCCAGAAATAGTACCTCGGGTTAAGAACTTTGCTTCAGGATGAGAACAGAAATCGCGCGGTGGTGGCGCGGCAGCCCCATTAGCTAAAGTGGTACCTCAGGTTAAGAACAGTTTCAGGTTAAGAACAGACCTCCGGAACGAATTAAATTCTTAACCCGAGGTACCACTGTACAGACACCACCAGACAGAGTACACCTAATATGTTGGAAAGAGCAGATAACATTTCTGGTACTAAACAGCCAAGCTATAAATAGGGTGGGCGATTCTATCTCTAAAGAAAGAAAATTACAGAAGAGTTCCTATCTGAAACACTGTGCACTAGTGCCTTATATTATACAAAGGGTATAATGAGGTCACCCACAACCAGCTCCCCATGTTGCACTGCTCCCCTTCTCCACCCTGCTAGACACAAAGCACTGCCGCCTTTCCTCTCCTGTCCCCCTGGTGATGTTCTAGGACTGGCAGATGCCACAATGGCAGGGTAATGTAATGGATAGCCTGCTGGGACGCTGATCCAAGATCCAGATTCAATTATCTGGTAAGCTCACTGAGTGTTCTTAGGCAAGCCATTATGTCAAAATAACTTAACACTGTTGTTTGTAAGTGTAAAATCCAGGTCAAGGGGAGGAAATCCATGTATGACATCTCAGACTTTGGAAGAAGGTTGAAATAATATTATTCAGTTCATTTGTATACCACCCTTCACATGAAAATCACGGAGCTGTTTACAATACTAAAACAATAAAACAAATAAAATTACAGATACATATAGCAATAAGGTGTGTTGCATTTTTCAACTGTCAAATTCCAAAAATGAGGGGTGCTAAAAAGTTACAATGAGCCCAGAAGCATTTTGGCACCCAGTACAGATCACAGAGAATTGGTGTGATGTGGCTTCAACTCACTGTGTCACCTGGAATTCTCTCTGCAGCATTTTGCACCAGCGACATCTTCCGAACCACTATCAAGGGTAGCCTCGTGTAGAGCACATTATGGTAGTCCAACCTTGAGGTTACAAGAGCATGGATCACAATTGGCAAGCTGCCCCAGTCTAGGAGAGGGAAATGTGCCTCCAGTACAGTCATAAAGGTAAAGGTAAAGGTACCCCTGCCCGTACGGGCCAGTCTTGACAGACTCTAGGGTTGTGCACCCATCTCACTCAAGAGGCCGGGGGCCAGCGCTGTCCGCAGACACTTCCGGGTCACGTGGCCAGCGTGACAAAGCTGCATCTGGCGAGCCAGCGCAGCACACGGAAACGCCGTTTACCTTCCCGCTGGTAAGTGGTCCCTATTTATCTACTTGCACCCGGGGGTGCTTTCGAACTGCTAGGTTGGCAGGCGCTGGGACCAAGCAATGGGAGCGCACCCCGCCGCGGGGATTCGAACCGCCGACCTTTCGATCGGCAAGCCCTAGGCGCTGAGGCTTTTACCCACAGCGCCACCCGCGTCCCTCCAGTACAGTCATACCTTGGGATAAATGTGCTTCAAGTTAAGTATTTTTGGGTTGCGCTCCGTGGCGACCTGGAAATAACGGAGCGCGTTACTTCCGGGTTTCGCCGCGCACACATGCGCAGATGGTCAAAATGTCATCATGCGCATGCGCAGTAGCAGCAAAACACGACCCCCGCATGCGGATTGCGTTCATTTCAGGATGCGAACAGGGCTCCGGAACGGATCCCGTTCACATCCCGAGGTACCACTGTATCAGTGTTGGATCATGGAGGACCTCCAAGCTATGCAACTGCTCTTTCAAGGGATATGCAACTTCATCTAGAACAAACCATTCCATAGACACAGGAACTGCTCACTAAAGTGATGTCAAATGTAATGAATAAATCACCTGCCATGTCTTTGCCCAGTAGCTAACATCTGTGGCTGGAACAAAGAGAACAACGGCTGTGATGCTGCCCTTACATTCCAGGAGACCAGCCCAAGCCCTGCTAGAGCAAATGCAGAGAGCACATAGACTATAGGCATAAGATAGAGACTTAGGTTCTCTTTCTGGCATCTCTATGGGCAGCTCTAGTAAAGGCCAAATGTTGAGATACTTGAAAGTGTCAACAGTCCACTAATCTGATCCTATATAAGTGAGGTTATTGCACTCCTCGTTTCCCTAAAAAACCCTGAAATTCTGCACCCAGGTAACACAAATTCTGCACCAAAATGTTGGATTCTGCAACGTGTATGAATTAAGCAAATCGTTTCCTTTCTTTTACTTAATTTATGTTGCAAACATACTATTAATTCTGGCTTTGCTGGTGGTGGAGGGCACCAAAGCCACCTATGGAAGAATTCTTCTATTCATTTTCAAATACAGTTAACTTTGCAACCCTAAAGGCAGAAGCTTGCCTTCTCAAAACGGAACAGAGCTTTTTTGGGAGATTGAACTTCACATTTAGGCAGTGGTAGATGCCACCCTTTTGGGGGGGCACCCCCGCAGCAAAAAATAAAATAAAATAAAATAAAATAAAATAATAAAATGCTGCGGATGAATCAGGGGGTCTACAGGGTAGCACAACACCAAAGACATGTCTTTTGCTACTGCTCTACCCTGCCAAACACCTGATTCACCCAGCAGCAAAAAACAAC